TGACGGGGTCCGATAGCCCTGGGACAGGCTCGGGGGCATCAGTTGCCACAAAGGCCCCAGGACTGGCGCGTGGTTTTGCCGTAGCGGCGTGCCGCCATTTTGGACGTTAGTTCAGCGGGGGCCTGGCAGAGGCGCTGCGTCGTCGGGTCAACGACCTCCAGAAGCGCGGTTCGGCAGCTCGCCGACAGAGGCGCTGTGATAGCCAGCGGTGGCGTGACTCGCGAGTCAGCACGGCGTCAGCTGATCGGCCGGAGAGGAGTCGAGCCGGCCGGCTGGGCGGCCGGGCGCGAGCTAGCTGATCGGAGCGTGGGAAATGACTGAGCGGCGTGCGCGAGACAGGAACAGCTGATCGGACCGTGGGAAAACAGCTGAGATAAGTGCGCAGGATCGAACAGCTGATCGGGACGAGGTAAAGCTGAAGGGATGGCGCTGCCGGGAATGCATCTGCCCACGGTGGCACCCTACCATACAGGGGAGGACTTTGAAAGGTAGGTGAGAAGCATAGGGCGGTATTTGGTGGCCGTGAACATAACTGATATCAATCAGAAATGTGCAGTGCTTCTCCGTCTGGTTGGGCCGGACGTCGCAGATCTCAGCGAGACGCTGCCGGACGAAGACGCGACGGGGGGTAACTTTGAAAAACTTAAGAAGAAGCTCACGGCGTACCTGTCGCCGGCCAAAAACGCTGTGACTGAGTGGGCTGCATACCACCAAATGAAAATGCAAGCGGGTGAGGAATTCGAACAGTTCCTCGGGCGACTCCGGATTCAAGCACAGAAATGCGGCTATACAGCGGCTGAGATGGACAGGGAACTCCGGGACCGGTGTGTCGTCGGAAGCAGCACCGGGCTGAGAGAAAAGCTACTGCAGGAGGCGGCGACCAAAGGAGACGGGCTGATGCTCGCGAACGTCCGGCAGACAGCGCGGGCGTACCGAAACACCAGTCAGCTAAGCGCCCAGCTGAGAGAGAGTCAGCCGGCAGTCACAGGAGTCGCCTGTGAGGGGACGGCCGTGAACGCAGTGCGGCCGGACCGGCCACAACGGCCACAGCGAGGCCAGGGTTTCCGATGCGGATCCAGGCAGCATTGGAAGAGGGACTGCCCGGTTGGGGTGCAGGAGCGTGGCGCTGCCGACCGGCCATCGTCCGGGGATAATGGACGGCGTGAGGAGCGGCAGCGGCAGGCACAGCGGGGCGCAGTAGATGGGAGGAAGCGTTTGGACAGGTGGACCGCCAGCGTCGCCGTTGTGGTGTCAGCGAGCGGCTCCGGCTGTCGCTCCTGTGGTTCCGTGCCGGGAACATGCTTTGTTCATGATGGAATCCTCACGCTCAATGGCATATATACGTGGGGCATTGCCACTCAGCTCCAGGTCGGAATCACAGTTAAATTGCAGTAGTTCCGAATGAAGTCATAACAGTATGAACCAGCAACCACTGATTGCCAGTCGTGTTTTGCTATTACAGGCAACACCAGCGTTTGAAACCTGCTACCAAGCATCACTGAGAAAAATATTTTAAGACAGGTGCATTCGGAAAAAGGACGTGTGCATGAAGCAAATTCATATACAGTTCTCAGTCAACAAATGTGCGCAATACGCATGATGTGAAGTGCGTATGGTAAAAGAACGTGCGAAAAAGCTATTACCAAAGACCTCATAAGCAAATGTTTGAATGGCTTAAAGAGCGCCTCCAAAACATATGTTATGGAAAAAGGTTGAAAGGAAGGCAAACGCTACCAGGCAAAGAGTTGGCGTGCATAAAGTACAGTACGAAATTTGTCTTAAGCAATCTTGCTGGCAACATAAACTTGTTTGACAAAAATACGTACGTAAAAGTTTCTAAGCATCACGGATGCCGCATCGTTTGTATGCAAAGCACTCCTATGATGACGTTTAAGAAAACAAATCGATCACCCGATAATCAAATTACATACGCCACCTCTCCGATGTCGCCTGAATGCTGTGTTTGAACGATAGATTCATCTCTTAGTCATCGAATGAAGCCTGGCTATTTTTAACGATCCGGTGTTCCGTTCAAAACATTCTAGTTGGGAACTGTTTGTCAGCCTCAAACAAAATCCAAAAAAACCTAAAAGCAAAAAAAAAGTTCGCCAGAACATCATTTAGGTACATGGATGAGCTTGGCAACGACAAAGGACTAAATATTTCCGGATTTGGTATCGCACAACTCAACGTAGAACGGTGCCCGTTTTATTTTCATCCAGCGTTACACAATGACTTTCAATTTCCGGCCGACTTTATTTTTCGAGACATGAAGCAGGTGTTCATGTGCTTTAACACGCTAACCATGCCGTGCTGTGGTTTTGAGCTGTACCAAACCCTTTTACCTTCTGGTGCGGCCATGCCGGAGGTTTTATGGAATTTCAGACAACGTACATCTTTTGGCGCTAGCAAGATACATGGCGCGCGACGTGCAATGAAGCGGGCTGAGATGTCCTTTCCCTATTGTCAGCGATGGCGTAAGTATTTCCGGTGGACGCGCTGCATCCCTGGTGAACGTTTGACCTGAACATGATGGCGAACAATAAGTATTTTCCAAGGCCATTCTAACCTCTAAAGTATCGCTAATTATGTCGCCATTAACCTTCAACACTGGAAGAGGGCTACTAGCTCTCTCTTGATAAATCACCGCATAATGTCTCACAGCTGCGTCATAGGCGTTCTATAATTGAATAAACTGATCAGTTTTGCTCACGACTCTTGCTTCACCTTTCCACTTACCTGTCTTGCTTTCGCTTTCATTTTCATGCATACCCCAAGGAAATCAGCATTTTGTCGATCTCGGCGAAAACGATTCAAGGCCTGTGTTTCCTGGCGCCGATTGCCTCTTAGTACTCATGCGTCGGTGGTGTCTGACCGACATATAGACCGTTATCGATTCAGGGGCCCTTGATCAGTGCGCACAGCCCTCCGCGGGAGGGGACTCCTGAAAACGACCTTCGGCCGGCCTTTTGGGCCCTTCGGGCCGCCAAATCGGATTTTTAATTGTAAGTCCAGGGGGGCCTTTGCACCCTCTAACCTGAGAGGGGGAGGAGGACGTGCCCCTGAGGCCCCCTCTGCCTGCACCACTGTGTGATGCATGTGTTGCGCTTATACCGTTTTTGGCGGTCTTGTGGGCTATCTGAAGGGAGGGCCATTATTGGATCAGGAGTCCTGGGTGTGGTACTTCCACTGAGGTCTGATTCCAATCCCAGTTTCCCGTCTTATAAGGCGATTTTCGTACTCGAAAGTGATAACACGACTGACACCGCCTAACAATTTTCACATGCGTGTATTCGTGCCACGTTGGTACTAATTTGTTCGGTATTGTAGCTAATCTGCAGAGTTGCGATACTGAAACTGGAGAATCCTCGGCCGGGTAGCCGCCAGTCGCTTAGGCCACTTTTACATTGGGGATTTCAGCACCCAAAGCGATAAAACGGCCGGCATAGCTTTTCAATTTTCACAAACATGCCCATATGTGTCGTTCGCACCAGCTTGGGCGGTCTGACTGCCAACATGCAGGAAGGCCCATTATTGGATTAGTGGCCATCAAGCAGAAATTCCAGTCTAATAATGCGAATTTCGGAACAGAATGCCATGAGACGGTTCACACAGCTCTGCAGTTTTCACGTACATGTACACATGTATCGCTTATGTCACGTTATATGTCACGTTTGTGTCAGTTTGGGCGGCATTGCAGCTAATCTGCATGTTACTGGGTCTAGAACGACCCTCGGCCGGTCGGCCGCCAGTAGCTCAGGCTGAAATGGAATGTCAATGTCATAATTCCAGTCCCGAAAGCAATTTAACGATAAACTTCTAGTTTGGACGGTTTTGCACGTGATCTGGACTGCGAGGCTCATTCTTCATTGCCCAATGGAAGCCCATTCCTTACAGATGTCGTAACGGCCTTACCTGCTCGGCCAAGAGTAGAGCAAAGCGCGTCTCTACAAGTGAGTCGCCGCTATTGATAAAGCAACCCCGGGCACCATTCGGTGCGCTTCTGACAATACTGCATGTTCGGCTAACAGCCAGGTCTCGATCGCATATGGATAGTGTGACCGACAGTGATGTCTTTATCATAGAACTAGACAATCTGTTTTTTTATAAATTTGGTCCGAACTCTTTGAATGGATGGATTTCTGGGATCAGCGCTCACGCTAAGCAGTGCTTGTTGTGTGAGCCCTAACCCCACCATCCGATCGCGCAATTCCGGGCAACGGTAGGATTTAGTGGTGAAAGCTTTACGTGCCGCAGTGCTCAGCACGGGCCGTCCTGCCCTCTGACGTAAACTGACCTTTAGCACGACCGCTGCCACCGGCCGCAGGCCATACCTGCCAAGGGCAAATAGCGAGCGCCCTAAAGCGACTCCAAGCCATCCCGCCACAGTTGGGTGGATCGGAATGCAGGCGCTCTGACCAACTGAGCCACCAGGATGGGCTATCCATTTAGAACAACGGACTGTTCATTCAGGTAATGTTCAGGTGCGCCATTCCTGCGCGCAACAGATCTCCATGGGGCTGGATCAGCCGTCCCTTCTTGTGCCCAGATGTGGAATTAAAGAGCGTTCTGATTGGGGTGGATCTGTGACGCCACCTCAACGGGCGGAGCTCGCGTCCTAAGTGGACAATGAGCCGGGCTCCATGGTCCAGATTTACGCCAAAACCTGCGCGCTTCCTGCACTCAGCGCACTTGCATCCCTTCAGCCCCGGAGTGCGTGAAACCTATGATTCCTTTCGTGGGTACGATAATACTGGCGTGGATTTTGCCTTATCACTCTCACAAAGGCACCGCTATGGAGGCACGGCCAGCCGGCATGGGACCCACGGTAGCAAAACTGGCCGCATCCCGCAAGTCCGATTAGTTAAACCCAAGTCCATAGTCTTTTGCCGGCATCCTCATATGCTCTTCACACAGGGCACAGACACGACGGATTGTGGTTTCCCGAGTTCCACCCCCCCCCCCCGCCATGCAGACAACATAAAAAATAAACAAGCGTATCAGTATGCAATCATTATTATGTACAATATCATACAACGGTGACAGAGCAGCACCAGTCTTTCGATACGCGTGAGTTCCTGGTGCCCTCCTGTGGCGCCAGTCAGTAACGGGCTGACCACGCGCAGCACCGAATGTCCGACGACACAACAGTCGGAGGGGCTCACGAGCCGAGCACAGCGCCACCCGTCCCTAATTCACAGCGTTGCACTCGCCAATTTCGAAAGGGCGCGTGGGGCTGACTAGCACGCATGAAGCACCAGCGTTGCACGACACGCAGGAGATCAGCAAATGCGTGAACAGGGCTAAGAAGCATCGGATCAAGTGCAAAAGATTGCGTGCAGACCACACACATACAACGAAGACAACATGCTTCCACAATATCCAAAGGAGAACGTAACAACGTACGGGCTCCAACACCACACGAGCAGTTAAATAAGTGAAGACTGACAACACCCATACGAGCAAACCTGGAAGCTTGTAAATGACTGGGCAGCACGCCTGTGATCCAGGCCTGTTATTCGGACAGTCCAGCCTACTCCAATATCATATCGCCGCGGCCGACTGTGTGCAGTTCCCCGGCGTGACGTCACGCAGTGCCAAAGTACGCCCCGGCGCGCCAGACTCCATGCCATGGTCCCCATATCGGTCCCACGCTCCAATCAGCTCGAGGAATCGAAACATCGCACCTGCAAATGACACGCTGCAAGCGACAGTCTTTCTCTCGTCACGTCTGAGCCCCCCGCGTCGCCACTGCGGGTATCGCGCTCTACCCCAGGTGCTCCAGAGTGAGACATGAGGGCAGCGTGAGCCCTCAACCCGCACGCGGTGCCGCGACCTGGGAGCGCCGTGAGGCCTCCGCCCGCACGCGGTGCCGCGACTGGTTGTCACGTTCACAGCGCGATGAACGTCTTGGTGCGGTACATGCGCCAAGCGACGAACACCCAAATCAGGGTGCCCCACAGACTGAGGAACAGCTGTCCCAGGTGCGTGTTGGGCGTGGGCGCCACAGCCACCAGTGACACCGGGAACAAGTTGGTTCCCAGCTCGTGACCCAGGTACAGCGTGATGGAGTTCAGACCTGCCGGTGGCGAGAGTGGGGTCAGGCGGTGACGTGGGAGAGCGCGCACGTACCGATCGCGTGATGGAGTTCAGATCTGCCGGTGGCGAGAGTGGGGTCAGGTGGTGCGGGGATCACCGATCCGCCCATTCTCGGGCGTTTTTACGAATCCATGTTAGGCATGGACTACCAGTGCAAATACAATTGGGAAATTAATTTCACGGTATTAGCGATGGTAGGTCAACAAATCACTTGGCGGCATCAGCCCCGTCCAATCACGTGCGTCAGTGATCGCCCTGGCCGCCGGCGACGCCACCCTTTCCTGACCCGGCTTCCAATACCACACGTCGTAGCCCGATCAGATACACTGAGCCACAAAAACTTCGGGCACATAGCCTTCAGCCTTTAGCCAACCAGCCTTCAAGAGACCGATGTCCACCTGGAGTTAATACCACAAACAATTTTTGGCAATGGCTTAATGTAGACCCCGAAAATGTAGACTTACTCAAATTCATCTACTTCATTCACTTCAATTGCCACTTGTCAAGGTGCAATGGCAGCCCATTTCAAACATATTATCTGTAAGCTTATGCATGAACGCTAAACATCATTGAATCTGCCGCATCCACACACACAAAGAGTATATTACAACGTGGTGGTTTAAATACTAACTTTCCAGCGTACGTCTGTCTCTTTGTCTGTATTCTTGTCTGCGGACGCACAGCCAGGGGTGCAGTTTCCTATGCTGTTGGGGGGGGGGGGGGGGGCTTCGATCCCCAACTTGGGAGGGGGGGGGGGGGCTGAGGAGGCGAAATACGGTGAGAAACCTGATCGTGGGCGCATTCTGGGGAGGAGGATTCGCCAATTTTACCATTCAGCACTTCTGACTCATTTTGCGAAACTACGCCCCGGCGCAAAGCACAGTTGCACGGATTTCCGTGGAATGCGTGCATACGAAGGACTGTCTTCGTGACGATCCTCATTAATTTACAACTGCCGATGCCGGCCACAGTGGTTGGGAGGGGAAGTAATTTTGGATTTAACAGGGAGACATGTTCCGTATCCATACATGACAACTCCATACTGCTGGCGGGGCTTAGCTGGCGGCAATCGTCAGCTATGAGACTTCTGTCAAGCTGGCGACGACGTGGCGGCAATGGGCGAGCAATGAATTTTTGACACGTACTCTCGCGCGTAAGCTGGTACAGGGACGTTGCGAACATTGGCGTTGGGTGAGGTCTATGGTGTTACGCGACTATTTTAAAGATGGGCCATACGCTGAACTATATTAAGCGCGTTGCTTGTAATTGTGGCAATACGAAAGTCGACAATTCAGCGATCTGCTTCTCTACACTTCTACGAGATCCAGGCCCTAGGTGGACATGTTTGAAGAGAAACATCGTAAGTCATAAGAATGGCTTGCGTTAAATTTGTTTTTCGAAGCATCGACAATCACATTTAGCGCCCAGTTGCGAAAAAGCGGTTTCTTCGGCGTGGCCTGATCGGTGCTATAATCGTCCGGCCACTGAACACTGGTTGCGCTGACAACATCGGAAAACTCGTTCCGGAGGCTGTAGCGCGGTCGCCAACGCACGCTGGTGAGATGGTAGTGGTGATGATTTGGGCTTTAGGCTGCACCAACCGCCCTGGTCATGTGGCGTCCATGCACTGATACAAGGTAGGGAGCGGGGAAGCGCCAGGTCAGATGGGCCGGGCCTCCAGGGGAGGGCGGGAACGTCCCGCGGGCGAGGGCTGAGCCGTCCGCGCCACGACTCGGCGGGCACAGAGTCGGCGACGACAGCAGCCGGCGGATGGCGGCGATTGAGGCAGGTACCCAGAGGTCTGGTGGTCAGTCTAGAGTAGTTGATAATCTGAGGCAACAAGCGAAAGTCAAATATATTCCGGGGCGGGGGCAAAGGAAAAAGTCAGCACGGCTGGGACTTTCCGAGAATATCAGGGTATCCTGGCCAGGAAGATCTTTCTCTCCCTGCTCCCTTCCCCTCCCTCCCTCTCTCCCTTCCTCCCTCTGCCTAACCCTCCCTTTCGCTCTCTACCCCTCCATCCCCTCCCTCCCTTTCCCTCTTCCTCTCCTTCGCTCTCGAGTGATGGTGTCCTGTCTCAAGCGCATTACTCCGCGTGTGCTCCAATCTAACCAGCATAGTAGAAGGGCCGGCCCAGCCACAAGCGCCACACATCCACCACCAGGTAGAGCAGAGTCAGCATGACGAACGCCATGCTGGAGAGTGCCAGCACAAACGACAGCGACCACAGGTTCTTGTTGACCGGGATGACACCGTCGTTTTTGGAGAAGCCGCACAGACCACCGGCCAATAAGCCCTGGGGAGGAGGGATGATTTCGTTAGAGGAACACCAAGAGGCCCTTGCAAATGCGTACGCTCCACCTTTACATGAGGTTTTACCTGAGACAGGCAAATTGTAGTGCATTGTGAGACTTATGCGGATATTACGCATGAAATAATTTTTCGGAATATTGTCCTCGTCTGGTGTGTTAGAATAAACAATGGAGTGCAGTCAACGCGTGTGTACACTGGTGTGTAGACAATGTGTGCGTACATACTAACCCGCCAAACGAGGCGATCGTTGAATACTTATTCAATCCGTGGTACTAATACCTCACTTCAACCCTTCTGCAAAACTGCGCCAACATCTTTACATAGCTCCAACCCTGCGGAACCACTGCCAGCATGCCCTCTGGACTCAGTTTTGGTACACTGCTGGCACGTTCACCTGATCCATATGTATCGCCAAGCTCAGGTCGGTATGGTTTCAGTAAGGCACTAGGGCGCTCCCGCGCACTGTACCGCTCAGCCGTGCGACAGGCACGAGTAACGGTCCATGGTGACGCCAGCACTCGTCCACTGGCAGTGCTATCTACTGTTCCGCGGTCACAGGTTTAGGTTTGCGGCGGCCGGCCTGCACGTGTTGGCTGGCCCCAAGCGTGAGTTCTGGTGAATGCGTACCGCGGGCGGCGCACTGGCGCTGACAACAGAGCGCCGGCCACGACACGCATTGCCGTGATGTGCGCTCGGCGGCCAGCAGTTCTCACCAGCAGCAGCGCCCACACAGTGAAGCGCAGCAGCCGCTCGCGCCAGGTGCGATAGCTGACGATGATGCGGCCGGCCACGCAGCCGAAGAAGACGGCTACACATGAGGTCAGCACGCCCAGGATGCCTGTCGACGGGCGGCACTGGTCAGACACGGCCGCACAGCCGCACGGCGCAGACGCGAGCATGCACAGGACACCATGGCTCGTGCCGCGGCAGCGACAGTCGGCGCGACCAACCAGAGCCCCCGGTACACTCCCAGGCTCCCCACAGACACTCAGACGGCACGACTGACACGAGCCCCCAGTATACTCAGAGGCCCCCCACAGCATACTCAGACGGCACGCTTGACACGAGCCCCTAGTATACTCAGAGGCTCCCCACAGCATACTCAGACAGCACAGCCGACACGAGGCCCCAGCACACTAGCTACAAGGCTCCCCACAGCACACGCACGCCCGACACAGCGCTCTCAGCTCGAACGGTATTCAAGTGAGACACCATCATATTGTGCATGGTGTGTGCTACATATGCACATGGTGCATATGATATGTCTGCATGAGAACCGTATTACATATGGTGCAGCAGCCGAAAACTGGGGAGTGTCGCGTGAGGGCTGAAAAACCTGCAGCTGCTACTGTCCAGGGCAGTGAGAGCCTTCATGGGGACGGGGGCCCCAAATATCCATGGGTTAGATATTTTATCCGGTAGTTGCACAACGGGTCATGATCAGCCGACAATTAGCAGCCATTGGCTCAGCAATGGGCCACACGGAGGTCCTCGGAACTACAGAGCGGTGCTGGCAGTGTCGGGCTTGGGCCAGGTCAGCAGTGGGCTCTGACCTTCCGGATCGTACGGCAGGCTGGTGTTGTAGATCAGCCGGCAGGTCGGGTGGTGATACATCAGCACCCCCAGCACCTTGCGATCGACGTAGCCAGCCGCGCCGCCCGTGCAGCTGGCGAACTGGCCGCCCTGCTCCATACCTCCGGCGCCCAGGTAGCCCCTGCCCGCAGATCATCGCACTGTCAACCGAGGTGCACAGCGTACTCTAACGGCCTGGCCACCTGGCCTGTGCTAATTAACGTCAGACCCGATAATTGGGAGCGATACCGCCACTGAAAGAAAACCAACTCGATACCCGCTACAGAAAGCGGCGGGACGAAGCAGCACCAACGGCGGTGTCTGACATGCGAGCGCGTGGTCGGAGACGTTTGGTATGGCTGCAGACGCGAACCCGTGCGCTGGATACGGCCGCAGACGCGAACCCGTGCGCTGGGTACGGCTGCAGACGCGAAACCGTGCGCTGGGTACGGCTGCAGACGCGAACCCGTGCGCTGAGCATGGCTGCAGACGCGAACCTGTGCGCTGGGTATGGCTGCAGACGCGGACCCGTGCGCTGGGTACGGCTGCAAAGGCGAATCCGTGCGCTGGGTACGGCTGCAGACGCGAACCCGTGCGCTAGGTGGCCTTGTACCTGGGGCAGCCGGGAACCTCCAGGAGGAATGTGATGAAGGTGTGGACGGCAGCCAGGGCCGACACACAGAGCCACTGGGGCCAGCAGTCGATGATGTCACGCAGCCACGGGAATCGCCGAGGCTGAAACACGGCACAACCGGGCTCATCCACACCGCGCGAGTAGTGGAGAACAACAGCAGGTACGCAGATCATTCGTCTGACGGGCCGAACAGTGACACCGATGAGCAACCGAAGAGCAACGAAGAAGACCAACGCATTAGCCATCCACATTGATCGCACTGCTCGGTCGCATGGGCCAGCCACCCCGCCGGTCGTTGTACCATGCAATCATGTTAACAGCTATGCCGTGGTCGTACCCAATAGTCGAAGTGGCTAGGGGTTCAGGGCGCGTCGGCTTCAACGTCATTTTGTGCCCACAGGCACACCCGATAGTGATGCTGGTAGTTTGGGGCCTAAGCGTGCCTCCGAGTCGAGGCCATTTTGCGCCCACAGTCACACCCAACAGTCACAAAGAGCAGATACTCAACGAGCCGCGCCCAGCAGTCGCACCATAGGGGACACTGGTGATTGTTATCACCTGAGGGCAATGGGCATCTGATTTCGAAGCATTGCAATCACATAAGTCACGCTATTAGTAGCAGCAAACCTAACACCCCGCGTCTCACCAAGCAGCCCAAAGGGGCAATCGCACTGAGTAGTCAGGCTGCGTGCAGTACACTGTCACGCAATCCGTTACACCGGGCAGCCACGCGATCGTTAACACCAGCAGCCACGCAATCGGTAACACCGAGCGGTCGCGCAATCTGTCATAACAAGCAGTCATGTTATCCGTCCCACAGGGCAATTGCGAAGACAGATCAGAGTGACTGATAACGTGGCAGTCCGTTGCAACTGGAGTGTGAGTGGTGACTAGACTAGACTAGACTAGACTAAACTAGAGCGTTGACCACCTCCGCCGCAGGCAAGTGCCGCCACGAGACCAAACACGCACCATCTGGGCGTCGTCGGCGCGCAGCACGGGCAGCTGGATGCTGGAGATGATGACGGAACAAAGGGCGAAGCGCTGCAGCACGCCCGGCAGCCGCAGCTTGTTGCCGTCCCAGCGCGCCTCCGAGGAGTCCGAGTTGATTACCAGGCCGAACAGAAAGAGCAGACAGCAGCGGCGGAACATGCGCACCCAGATCTGCGACCTGATGGAGCGGCGCACCGCCCAGACTCGTCATGCTGCCATGCTCAGTGCCGGACCAATGGCCAATGGCGAAACCAAAATATGGCTTTTCGTCTCATTGAGTTTGCCATTTTCACCCTTAGACCCACCGGTTGTCTCAAAAGTATATTAATACTACGCTGCAGAATACAAAGTCACACCAGCTGTAGGCAATCTAGCCGCGGAAAGAAGGAAAACCTGGGTGACACTAGACCGTTTTCGTTTTACGAATGAATAAGACGCACTTGTACACCGTGCCAGACGGTTGTGATATCACAGCCACGTTGACGGCTTCATGTCCCCCATGTCCCGTATGCATATAAAATCACGGAGCACTACCGGACGAACACACAGTAAGTTCGTACACATAAGCTTGGCATAGTTCATGTACATTCTTGCTGCTTCAAGTTCATATATGTACGTTCAACACACAGAAAAGTTCATAAGAAGGCCACAAAGCCACACAGAAATTCGAAATGTGTGACGTGGTGTCCTCATTAGCATGCTCAGGAGCAGTTATAAAGTGTACGGCAGGAAAACAGCTGAGCTGGCGTATGAAACTAGCGTACTGGCGCACAAAACTAATTCCTGTCAAACGGGCAGCCTATTTCAGTAGCCTGTATAATAGCTTACTACCGCCATCTGCAGACAGGAAATGCAAGGCAAGGGTAGCCGATAACGGAAACCACCGTTAGGAAGATAGTGCAGTAGTGTTGTAGAAACAAATTACCGACTCCGAAACCAAAACAACAAAGTAACGGAGATCTGGGAGCGACAGCCTCACTCACACGTGGCGGCCTCACTCCCACGTGACGGTCACACTCGGACGTAAATGCCTCAGTCAGACGTGACGGTCTCACTCAGGCGCGACGGCCTCACTCACACGTGACGGTCACACTCAGACGTAAATGCCTCAGTCAGACGTGACGGTCTCACTCAGATGCGACGGCCTTACTCAGACGTGACGGTCTCACTCACACGTGACGGTCACACTCAGACGTAAATGCCTCAATGAGACGTGACGGTCTCACTCAGACGTGATGACATCACTCAGACGCGACCAACGAATCATGCGCAGATAAGTCTGACGGACGACAAGTGGCGGCCGGCCGGCGGGCCAGAGGCACGCACCGCGAGCCGGCAGGGGGCGCTTACTTGGGCACGGAGCGACGAATCTGGCCTCGCAGTGACATCACCATACTGGCGCCCATGATCCACATGAACCTGGCGGACGGCGCGGCCGTTATATCAAGCCATAGTCAATGTGTCGTCAGGTCAGGCCACAGTGCGGCCGACGTGTCGTCAGTAGCCTCACGGTGACACGGCGCGGTCCCGAGCGGCACTGACGGCCCGCTAGCTGTGACAGCAGCACGACATTTCGTCTTCCGAGTACCAGAGAATGGTGTCAGGACTCCCATGAATCCCTGACCGAAAAAAAATAAGAGGTAATGACTGTATCGTGATAGGTCTTAAACAATAACACTAATCCGAACAATAACATGACCTGTGCACATGGCGCGGGCGCTGAGCACCCTATGTCTACAAACCTGTCAACAAACGTCAGCCACATATCACATTGGACGCACAAAGCTAAGCCACCAAAGCTGCCCAAAATACGCCCCCCGGACTGACCGCTGGCGAGTAGAAAGATCGTGCTGCCAATACGGAGGGCACATTGGTGGCTGACATGTTTGCCCACCCGCTTACAGCCAAATGAAAGCGAAGCAGTGCCGGCTCGATGAGCTAGCAGTCTCCCGGACACAGCGGACACCGGCACTCCCCAAGCGGCACTCCGGGAAGCAGTCACAGGCGGCACTCACCAGGGAAACACGAGATCAGCCACGGTCAGACCGTTCCAGCGCGCGTGACGGAAGAACCAATAGTGTCCACCCTTGTAGTTGACAAAAATCATCACCACGATGCAGATGCTGCAGACAAACACGACCGGGACCGTGATCTTCGTGACAGGCATCATACAGAGCAGCGGGGCGACACAGGACGACGGTGGAGGCCGGCGAGGCGCGGCCGACGCGCGGATTGTCCCAGCGAGGATGAGCAAACGGTACGTGCTGCGCTCTTGTTTGGTGCACCGCGTGGTAGCACACAGCGCAGCCGGTGACAGACAACCAGCGGGGACTGGCGGACAGAAGCACGCAACATCCAGTGTGTGGCGCGGAAGTACCCGTAGCTCTGCGCCACTGGCACCCGCATTTCAGGCGTCACTTGATACCGAAGCAGCCAAGACGAGACAGACACGAGCTGCCCCATTGACGGAGGATGGCACCGACCCACCAGGGGAACACCAGGTCGGCCACTGTTAGGCCGTTCCAGATGGCGTGGTTGAAGAACGAGTACTGGCCACCGCCGTAGTTGACAAAGATCATCACAATGATGGATACGCTGTTGTAGAACATGAGGGCGTCAGTTGAGGTAGCGGCCGTACGAATATCCCTCACCAGCCACCGGTCAGTGAGAGAAGTTCCTTGGCACGATTATGAACATTTAAACTCTACTTAAGGGGGACGACGCGGCCCCTGGGTTTTGCGTTTGGTTCTTAGAAACCGTTCGGAATGGGTTGTTGAAATTTCCGGGTTTTTACTTAAGATCCTTTGTACGCGTTATGCCATATTTTCAAGTGCGTGGCATGCACAGGGGCGGTTGCAGGGCCCGATTCTAGGATGGACCTCCAGTGAGACTTGACGATAATTTTAAGATGCTGACTGCCAAGGGACCACGCGCACTATGTTGCGTTTACGGGAGTTTATTGTTGCTGTGGAATAAAACAATTACAACTTAGGTGCATTCGTAACAAACAGCAAAAGTAACAAGGCAGAGGCGGTTCCAGGGCTGAACAAGTGGGAATGTGAAGACAGCGTGAAGAGTATAGCGAGTCGTCAATGCAGACATAAAGAGATACTTCTCGGCTTCTAAGCACAAAGCTTTACATGTTTTGTCAATATTTATACAACTAATTCATACGCGCGGTGGCAAAGACGCGTTCAGGTGGACGTAAATAGCAGCCATTTTGACAGGCTAAGCCCAAATCAGCTTCCTTATTCCCCCCTCTTTTCGAACCTGGATTGGAAATGTCTATAAAAAATGACCACATACGCTAAAATTCAGTTAAAATATTCTTCATTTATGAAATGCTATTCATTTAGAGCGTATATCAACATTGTGAGTGGGTTACTACTCTCTTCTACTTCTCCCTCCTTTCTTTCCCCTGCTAAAGAATTCTGAGCTGTCGGTACACCATAGGAAGTCATGCGTCATATCTGATATGCCAACTGTGTCGGAAAAACTATCCTGACACTTGTTTTGCTTTTTTCCCCCTGTTACCGTCCATACAAAAATGTTTCAGATTTCTTATATTCAAAAACGAAGCCCAGTGAGGAGGAATTGTTCTCTTATTTTTCTTTTAGGGAGGAATTGTCCTGTTTTTGATAACAGGCCGAGTAGCACGCGATATATCAAGTGGGGCCCGAGTGACCCCGTTCACCTTAACAAAGTGCAGTTCTGACATGCCTTAAAAACGGTTCAAGCTTTTGCGTTTTCCATGCTTAGTTAAGGAAAAAATTAACTCCATTCTCCTTAAAGTCGTGATGCGATCAGGCCTTTAAAGTCCCAATGCATACAACCCCAACACGTTTAGTGGAAACCACGGCATCTGTTCGCCAACGTGAAATCAACACCCATCAGTGCACGACGTATGAATGTAGCATCGCGCTATAGCAGTGACGGCGTGCTACCAAGACTGCAGCAGCACAGCCTGTATTTGGGCAGCTCACCCTCGAAACACGTCCAGCGAGTGGATCCTGGTCTTCAACTTCTCCGCCGCCGGCGAGGACTCCGCGTCCTCGGGCAGCATGGTAGTCGACTGTTCCGGGTCACCCAGGTCCTAACGTCGTCAATCAGAGCTGGTCACGTCTAGAGCCGCCTCTGTGCATGCGTGTTTCCAGAGACGGTGACTAGGCCACGTACGGAAATGTTTACGGAAAACCATCATGCTGAATTACCTTAGACCGGAAGGCTACTGGAATCTTCTTCTCCATTAAAGCTGATGGCCTCGCGAGACGGAATGCCACAAGCACATCGTCGATATGGGCCAACTAAGCTACAAAGGCAACGCTACCAGCTTCACTGAAACTCGTCGCCTTTTGAATAAATGCGGATGACGGAACAGAGACAATAGTGTAGCGTTAGGCATCCAGTGACCCACCCGACGAAGGAGGGACGAAGCTCCAACAAAGCGGATGAAGCGGTGGAAGAGATGGTGTTCATTCATCTTGTTGATGCCCTTGATCAGCAGGGTGAGACCAATTAGCGTCAGAGTAGCAAACAGGAGTGCTGCAACAGGGAAAAATGACGTTCACCCGCAGGAATGGCAATTCGGCCAGTTAAAACTAGTTGCCGCTATCTGGCTCTTACCGGTCTCAACCCGTTAAAACCGCAATAACCTGGTGGAAACTTATGAAATCCAAGCATTCCAAAATGCAAGGACAAGATATAAACATGAGCGCAAACATAAGGCACAAAGCCCCCTCAATGTTGTATTATTTCCGCGCAGTTTAACAGATGACATTTTGGAACACATTGAAAATACAAATTGTAGATTTTACTCGTTGCTAAGTTTTTACACCATCCTTAAAAGCAATGAATAAGCTTCGTTCGCAATTTAATCAGGCAGCCTGTTCCAAGGTACTACTACCCTGTAAAAAGATGCCGTAATGAAGTCGACCTATTGTGGTTTAACTTAATCTCATGTTACAATGTTGCTGCGTTAATTTCGTTAAGTGCACAGGTTTCTCGAAATAGCCCTTCTGTTGACCCTACAAACATAGAGCTAAGAAATATTTTGAATAGGCCCTGTTGCTGACGCTGTGTAAATTTCAAGACTTCGATTAAATCTCTCCTAAGTTCCTAGAGTTGACCGAAAACAGTGAATTTCGTCAATATGTGTGATGAGCGACATTGATGTTTATCTGTGATTAATGAAGTTGCTCACAGAGATTAATCACGTTGTGATATTATCCCAAAACCCTTCAGTCATTTCTATTCTGTTAAGGCTAATTACAATTATGAGTCAATTTCTCTTTAAAACATACCATTTGCACATACAGTGGCCGGTGTGGAACGGGCAAGACACCGGCCGGTCTGACCAAAAGCAGAGACGGTGGGAGGGACCGGCACGTAGCCAAGGGAAAGGACGGAGGTTATTCCCCCCCCCCCCCCCCTCCTAAGCCAAGTGGATTACGCCAGGTAATGTGCGACCTCGCAGGAAGTCGGTCCAAATTCGCAGGAGTTCGGAACAAATTTGAAATTTAGCTCTCCCTGAGGAAAAATCGAGATACGTGCCACGGAGAGGCTGCGGCGAAAACGAGGCAGGCGTCCTTCACAAACTTGCCCGGGGAGAAAGGAGGGGAAGAGGCATGCATTCAAATATGAATGAAAGCATGAACATGCCATTGTTCAGGCCAGTTTGGTTTGGATTGGTTTGGTAATGCGGGCCATTTGGCCTGTCTATCTTTGCAGCATGCTGAAGGCTCCGTATACCGTCATCAGTGCAGATCAAGAGTTGGGCCAAACAAGCCAGGACAGACACAAAGCTAACATACATTGATAGGTTATACTCGGCGTCCTGGAGACCAAACCAGCCCGAATACTGTTCACTCCTATCTATAGGTCATGATGAGAATCTGACCCACATCGTCACTGCGGCCGTTTCCTAATTGTAATTTGGCATTTTATCCACAATATTAACAACTTGTCCTTTCAACATTTGAGCTTCTGCCAGTTCATGCCAGTTTATGGTTACCAGCAGTTCCTGCCAGCTGGTTTTAACCACTTAAAACTGGCTGGCAGCTGCGTCTACCATTTGCTGCCAAGCTTGGTTTACCCGTTCGAGCCACCTGCATCACTAAAATGGCGTAAACATTCAGCGGCAAATCACCTGACGGGTGCCGATCATTTTCTTTATAAGTATGCCCCTCCACCCAGAAACGCAAATGACACGCCATAGTACCGACTCCTTAGTCCGTACATGAACAGCAAAGTGCCAGGAACAACGAGCCCTAACAATGGTCCGGATCAAGCAGAGCTGTTTGTAAGTCAGACTGCGCGCCCACATCTCTCTGCGCCACTCGTTAACCAGGCGGTGCATCGGCGTGCGTTGGAGTCAGCCGTCGGCGGCCGCGGCCGCGCACGATGCCGGCTTCACTGACGGGCGTAGATGTTGGCCGGCTCCGTCAGCACGCGCATCGAGCAGCTTTCGGGCGACTCCTGGCCGGTGGTGAGCTCGTACAAGCCGAACTCGCCGAAGTGGTACTGCAGCCTGTCCGGCAGGGAGCGCCGCAGTCGCCTCAGTACTGATACGACGGCGTGGGGCACGGCCAGGGGCCGCTCAGGGTCGGCAAGAGGACACAGTCGGGCACATTCAGGTAGAGGTCAAACCTAACAGCATCTCAAAAGTAAGGCATGGGTGGGGAATGTTGGTCACACGAAAGCGCCTTCTCATAGCCCCACTTCATGCTCTAAAAAAGGTACGTACCCACATGGATCGACACGTACCATTATTCGATAAGCAAAAGCCACGAAACAGTTTAAGCGTTCGGGCAAATGCTTGGGCGAATTTTTCCAACCCCGGGGGTTATCTGGGGAGACTCGATTACACTGAAGTTTCTGGACGAGTCTACGTCGAACAAGCCAACTCGGGTAGACCCTGGCACCACGCCGGCGCTGGTACTGTGCGGTCGACGTCAAGGCCTCACGGCCGGCGTCGGCAGCGGTCACGGCGGCAAGCTCCGGTAACCCACGGGTGGATCCGTCTCACCTGCAGGCCGAAGAGCCCGTGTCCGACTGCAGGTACAGCAGGGTCGGGTAGGTGGTGTTGACCACCTGGTAGCCCACCTTTGAGGGCGCCACCGTCACGTACGGCCAGGCGTCACACTGGAAGACCAGGACACGCAGGTGAGTACAGCCGACCCGTCACAGGCGCCAGGGCAAAGGTTAGCACTGATAGCGGGCGACAACTCTCACTGATCGCGGGCACGGATAAGTCGCGTAGAACAGGGTTGAGAGGTCCTACCAAGAGAAGCGGCTGAATATGCGCGATACGCGCCCAACTGCATCACATGTTGGTACAAGCCAGAAGACAGGACTTGTCTGGAGACTACTCCAGGTTCAAAACTACAGTGACGCGACATGACAAACTGCACTAATACACAAAACAGGCGTCGTTGATGTATAACTATTTATCAGCCAGAGTGCAGTCAGAGTCAGCTAGCACCTTCTCCACAGCCACAGCACCACACGGGCCCGACCGCCCGTTCCCGACTGGTTCCCCATCCCTACCAGTGTTCTTCTGCATCGGCCAACGCAGTGCGACCCGCCAGCGAAGGACAACACGGACACGCAGTACGACCCGACAGGGTGAGGCGGGACTTGACATGACACCGGACAGGCGGCAGGCGGCACTTACGCCATGGCACTCCTCGGCCTGGGCCCAGAGAGTGACGGGGTAGGTGCCGCTGTTGTTGAGCGCCAGGCACGCCTGGTCCAGACCTAGCTGACGGGCGCGCAGGCCCGGACACTCGAACGGCCGCTCCAGGCGCAGACCCAGCACGCGCGGCGGATCGGACGGCACGGCGTACGGCACGGCCATGGCGGCGCAGCGCGACGGCGGCCAGCGTTGCGGGGCGCCTCTGCCACCGGCGAAAGGTCGCCGGGCGGTGCAGTATCCGCTGCTGCAGGGAAGCGGGCGTCAGCTGGCGGTGGCACGCACCGCTGTCACGGGTACCGGCCGCAGCGGAAGTGGTGGCCTCACCAGCGCGGGAGCGGCGCGCCTGCACAACACGAGGAATCAGAGTGCTGTCTCGCCTGTCACCGGGACGTTCTCTCCGGCGCTATCTTATCAACGGAGCCAGCGATCGGCCGAGGTCCACTCTTCAGCGTCATCTCAGGGGATGGTAGGCCAGACAACTGTCTCCCATTATCGGTACGCAGTGTATTGTCTAGCTCACATTATCTAACCGGGTTGAAGCACACGAAACCTGTCTTCGGCGATCTATCGGTGACAGACAGCCGAGCAATGCCACAGAATGGCACAAACACCCTACTTTAATATACACATCGTGCGTAACCGCAACATATACTGAAACCCTTTGGGTGCCATAAAACCGGTGTACCTCCTGACAAACGGCGGCTCGGGGTATCACTGAGTGTACATTATGACGTGTTCTAGCAACAGCATAATCCATTACATGAGGTCTACAGCTGGAAAATACCCATAGTATTTCAGCTCGATATGCGACAGGGATTTTATTCCACTGTAAGTTGTGAGGCATCTTCTCTTCACATGTCGTACCGGATATGGCGAAAAGACAGAAGGCAGAACACCGAGTGGATAATAATATCTAGCAATGCTGATGAGGGGGTATAACTGCAGTCTCACAGTTTTCCACCCACTTAAAAAACCAAGCTCATGTAAACCTATACCACGCTAAAAAAGAACTATGCGGAGCATTTTCTATGGCTGGTAACAAAATTAGGATCTCAATGTGCATCTTATCGCCGCTGGCGGCGGACTGCGTTTCCCAACCAGTCGTTTTACAGTAACTTTTGACATAGTGACACTCGAAAGTATGGAACAATAGATTCACCATGCATCGGTTCATAATCATGCACATCATGCAATAAACTTAACACATTAAAAACAATGAAATCTGCTACAAGCCAACATGTAGAAATTGGTACATCGAATCTTACGCCACAATTCAGGAAGACACACTTATCCAAATTGATACTGCACTGTCGTCTGCCTTAACTTTATTAGATGTGGGCTCCCCGTCAACCCCATTTATGCCGGGGATGGGACAGCCGCTCCCCGTTTATGCCGGGGATGGGGCGGCTGATTGCGACTCGCTCCCATTGAGATCTCAGGAAATACAGAGCTCATTTTGCAAACACCAAAAACAAAAAGTGAGCAGCGTTTGATTTTCCCCGGCAAGCTCTGCATTCCATGACAAATTAAGGCACGTATAATAAGGTGGCAAGGGGGGGGGGGGGACAAACGCCCACAATCTTAACGGTGCATTTGATCCGACACAGTTGTCACGCCTTCCTCCTGAATTCGACGGAATCAACACCGAGCGGCAGATAACGATTTTAAGATTGACATTTTATGACCAGATTTGACAATGCCAACTTAAATGTATGCAGAAGATACAAAAGGGGGTGATGTAGCGCAAGATGTAATTCGTGATTGAAGCTTGCACATTTGCCCAACATTGATTGAGAGCCAATCGACGTCCACTATATTTGGAAATCGTGCTCACGGACACCAGATCTGAATGGCTCGACGAAAATATTGCTCTTGCCCTTGAACACCGCACAGCCTGTGGGGCGTCAGGATTTGAGTGACGTTGCTATGCCGTCACACATGCCGCAATTATCTTGAATAAGTCTGTGCAAAAGTCTGCACATATTTGCGGGCGTGAAGATCAGAAACAAGAGAGTTCAAATTCTTAAGGACTGGGCTGCAAACTGTACCGAATGATCTTCAATGTGAGCCCCAAAATTCCCTCCAAGCAACACCTCAACCAGCGAAGAATTAACTTCGTCTTCTTATTAACTTCTTACTTTTACTAGCAATTGTTCTCGGTCATCTGCAGGCTAAAAGGCGTCCAATTTTGTTGTGTTTATTCTTAGAAAACTGCGTCCGTTCGGTCGATTATGGGCCCCTTCGGAGCCGTTTGTTCCGCTCTGCATGGTCCAAAGGGCATGATCCCGTGCCTCCAGTCACCCTTCGCATCCGCCACCGGCCCGAGCAGCTTAATAAATGGGGTCTACCAAGAATACAGGGCCATCCATTCAAATAAGAAATGCTCACGACACAATGTGCAGGGCTCCGAACGATCGAGTGCGTCCGAGCAGGTTGACCTATAGGGCCCCCGTCAAGACCTTAGGGTCCTCCATAAAAATGGGAAGTACCCAGGACCCAATGAAGAGGGTCCCCGAATCATCGAATGTGCCCGAGCAGGTTAACAGATATGGCTCCTTACAAGAACGTAGGGCCCCCCATTCAAAGAGGAAGCACCCAAGACCCAATGTAGAGGGCCCCCGAATGATCGGGCGTGCCAGAGCGGGTTATTTAGCAACAGTTAGCAAGTAGGGTTAGGGTTAGCAACAAGTCCCGGTCAAGAGCGTAAGGCCAACCATTCAAATGTGAAGTGCCCAAAACCCAGCGTGGAGGGCCCCCGATTGATGGAGTGTACCCGAGCAGATTATAGATGGCCCCAACAGGAGCATGGGGCCCTGAATTCAAATGCTAAGACCCAATGTACAGGGCCCCCGAACGATTCACCATGGCCATGGACGCGAGCAGAGGGGACACCGACAAGTGCGCAGAGCCCCCCCCCCATTTAAATAGGAAATACCCAAGACGCAATGTGCACGACCCCCAAACAATCACGTGTGACCGAGCAGGTATTTGGATAGACCGGCCACAAGAGCATAGGACCTTTTGTTCAAATATGAAATACCCCTGGTGTGTTGTGGATGTCCCTGCATGATGGAGTGTGCCAGTGCATGTTAACAGACAGGGGCCCCCATTGAGAGTGTGGAGCCATTCAAACAGTTATAACCCAGGATCTGATGCAGATATCCCCAAATGATCAAGTGTGCCTGAGCAGTTTATCAGAAGAGACTCCAACAGCAGTGTAAGGCCCTACACTCAAGTGAGAAGCACCCAAAACCTGGTGCAGAGGGTCCCTGAAAAATGGAGTGTACCTGAGCAGGTTATCACATGACTCTAATTGGAGTGTGGAACCCTAAATTCAAGCACCAAGACCCAATGTGCAGGGCCCCAAACAATCCAGGGTGGCTGAGGAGGTGAACAAAGGGGAACCCAGCAAGTGTGTAGGGCCCTCCATTCAAATAGGAAGTGCCAAGACCTAATAAAGTGGGCCTCAGAACAATTGAATGTGTAATTAGATAGGCTCCTGATAAGACAGCTAGATTAGATAGGCTGTAGAAGTCTAAAGATGTCAAATTTTGTTGCATTTTGTGTGGAAACTGCACTTGTTCAGCCACCTATGGGCTACAGGGGCCATGGTCCTGTGCCCCCCTCCCCCAGATCCACCCCTGGATGCAGCAAACTGTCATTTTAGGGCAGCCTCTGTGACCTTCCATAAAGCATGTCTTTTGACTAGATCAGACCACTTATGTCCCATGTCACCATCTTGCTATTGTGAGGTGCTCCAAGGTATTGTGAGCTGTCAACTCCAGGGATTCTTGTCAGACAAATTTCACTACCTTACCCCACACTTCGATATTGATTTTATCCCTGCTTCATTGACGTATCATTCACACCGGATTGCAAACTGTGGCAGCTTTTGACAACATCTTATCTGTGTGCACCTGTTGGTTCATGCCAGCTCAGGCAAGCACAATGCTATTCCAAGGCTTGCAACAAGTGGTCCTAGGATTATATTATGCAGAGACCTGCTCAGGCACACACCACCTGTGCCAGCACTTGAAAAAAACTCTAGCCTTGGTGCTGCTAATGCTTTTTCCTGATCTAATGGTGGCAGTGTAAAAGTGAAATAAAGTCACTTTATTTATAATTTATCATTTATTATCATAATCATAGCATAGTCATTATCATTTAGACATGCCCTATTTGTGCTCAGCAGGTCTGGATATTACTCTAAGTTTTACCTTGCATGCTGCAATGATCTTACTGAACATTGCAAAAAAACATTATCTGTCCTGACCAGACTCTGGCTAAAAATAATCATTGTTCTCCCTTGATCAAGATAGCTATCTGTCTTGGTAATGCAAATCATTGCTCTGATATCTTTGCATAATCAGCTGACAACCACACCACATCATGGAGGTACTAATTATATTCATGAATGACTGGTGTGTCTATAGATGCCAATACTGTCTAGCCTGTATGCCATACTTTCATTTAGTTCATTCTGGCTTTTTTATAAAGTGAGGCCTATGCCAGCAGTTGAAATGAAGGGGCTATCATCCAGGAACCAAATTGGAACAATCCAATTGCCTGAGTTCAATACTCAAACTGCATGTGCTCCAATTACAGATGCTCAAACTACATGTGCTCCAAGTATGCCATATACTACTGACACATATTAAGCACATGTTCTTGATGACTTAATCTTACAGTCCATCTCAGAAGTGCAAATCACCTGTCTATATCTATCTAGCCTGACTATAATATCCACTTTTCCAGGTTGAGGCTGGCATGCATGGGAGGGGGTTCCACAGAATTTGTTCCAGGATAACTGATTGTTTACTATGGTCATAACATTTTTGCTCCACAGGTACACACAAACAATGCAACTAGATGGCAAGTTCAACATGCTTAACACAAAAAATAAACGGTTAACGTGACTGCTTGGGGAAATCCAAAGTGAGACCACACACCGGAAATCCCTGCACAGTGCGCCTGCATTACAACTGACACACCGTACCTATCGTCCAGCGCGTCCAGCGCACGTCCCCTTTCACAGCCAACCCAATACGAACGCACGTCGATTTCACGGCCGCGTAACCTTCTGCATTTGAGTGAATACCCCTTCAAAGCGTTACGTCATAAAGGCATGAAGTTTTTCCTCCGTAGCGAACTGTACGGGCATCCAGGTGACCGAAACCACCAATAACAATCAGTTTTTTTGCTGATCTGTGTCGAAATACTCAATGTTTTCACCTGTGACAAAACTCGAAATATTGAGTGCCTTCAAAAATCCTTACACAGCACTACAACGTGGCTTAAAGCACTACCTGGTGTTTACTTGGTTAGTGAATTCTGTGGAAAATATCGAGCTCGACAACATCATCCGCCAAGCCGCGGGACCAGCAGCTCCGTACGGGCGCCTGCTGACCCACATCCAACGAGTCGCCGGATTGGCCCAACCCGGGGGCCGACGCTCAGGGTCAATGATCGGCCGCCCGTAGAGACGGGATCGCGTCGAAACCACGTGAATGAGGGCACAGGAGCCGGTATCGCCGCTCAAAAATTTACTGTTTGCTTTCCCATAAAACATGGCGACCGGATCCCCCATTGACTGCAAGCGTTTTTGCGGATTGCGTGCGGCAGCCCAGTCCCTGTCCGGTGCGGACCGCGTGACCACCACGCAAAATTGTTGGCTAGGGACGGAGTGCACTTTCTCAATTCATTAAATTTTTCCTGTAGCACTCTATCCGCAAGTCACAGGAGCAATCATCACAGAAGACGATGCTCACAAATGCACAAAAACCGCACAAAATATTCGGCAACCATATCCAGTGATCATTCACGAATGTCACATCATCGAAGCACATCAAGTATATGAACACCTACTCCAAATGCTTGCTTACGCATAGCATATCTACCGCACGGTCCATCATGCACTGTAGCTTCGGCGTTATCGCGTGCTGGTCTGAAACGTTGTGCTTATCGAAATGGGAGTACCTGAATCTGAATCTGGTGCCAACCTGACGGACATAGAAACTACCGAGGAAAATGCCGTGCTTTACTGGCAAAATTATGCGTAACGTCACGTAAACCTTCAACGTCGTGGTGGAGCGTGACGTCATTATCGCGCTGCCAAAAAGGGCAGCATTTACCTTGGCCTTAAGCCAAGTATTATTGTGGTGGCGATTGCGAGTATTGCGTTGATGGGTATTTTGTACGTATATGTGTACATGCTCTCGAAATAATTTTTCATTGAATTGTTGGGATCTTGCTGGCGTAAAGTGTGGAGGTGCTGACATTCCCAAAGGTCCAAGGAAGCTCTGTTGATCTGTTCGTATCCAAGAGCCAAAACCCCCCAGAAGTTGGTGTTTTCCAAGACATGATGTTTACGAAGGATACGAAGCATTCTGACAAGAAAAGGTACGTGTCACGGAATACCTGCTTTTCAACTTTTAAACCAATTCATGCTGCTCTTGAATCAGGTACGTATTTCAATCACATGTTGGTGGTTTTTTAAAAAAAATTCTGCAGGTAGTTATGTTTACCATCTGTTGTTTTTTTATGAAAGTAGCATTTTCCCCTCTTTTGTGTGTCTGAATCTAGCAAATTGTGTCAAACTTCTGAAATAAAATTCATTTTAGTCATCCACTGGTTACTGCCACCCAAACCAACATGAGCCCTTTTTCCAAGCACTCCTTTGTTTAATATGGCCAGCATATGCCACCAAATCAAGGAATGTTGCGTCAATAAAAAGTGAGTGTGCCAGCATATGCCGCCACCAATGGTTCAGTGCAGATGGTGGTGGCCATAAATGATGGATACCAAGATATCCAAGAATTAATAAGATTTAATAATGTTATTGTTAGTTTTCTGAGAACTTCTGTGCTTATGCCAACTGCTGTTGAAAGTGATTTGGTTGTCAGGTCTTTGAACCATGGAGTTCTGATGAGCTCTTGTTACTTTTATCTAAAAACTACAAAGATTGAATAAAATCTGATCTGGTTTGGAGAGAAACTTGTTTGGTTGATGTGCTGGGCAGCATGACTAATTATCAACTGTTTCCAGTGTAACTCAAGTGTAAGGGGGGGGGGGGGCAAGGAGCTTCCACCTCCAGCCACTTGGTTCACAGAAGTTGAGTTACAAATTAATACAAAAGATCTTTAGACTGTTCTTATATGAGGATTTCATGCCAACAGCAGACCCAAAGCCAAGGGAAGCTTTTGGGGTCATGACCCCCTCCCCCTCCCTCTTCCCCTCTGCCACCCCCTGGGGCTGACTAGAGCCCAATTGGGGCTGAAGGCTTCAGCAGTTTTCAACTTTTTAAGATGCTCATGCAGGCTGGCCATGTAGGCAGTGAAATGGAATATTGAGCAAAGAAATGTCTTATAAAAGTAGGGCCATTACAGCAACAAAGTTGGACCGCCTCTGTTGAACTGGTCTCCAGTGCCCAAACTTGATCACCTCCTGGTCATGCTACTGGCAGCATGTACCCATCTTCTCAAGTTCTTAAGGACCCTTTGGGCCCCTTAGAACCAACAATCAAGAACCTGAAGGGCTTACTTTGGTCATATTAAAGAGCCCCAGCCCACAAGGCTGGGACATTAAATGTTAGTGAGATCCCTCTTTTTGCTGATCAGGGGCTTCTGAGTTGACAAAGGTCGCTATGTTAGTCAGGCACTACCAGAAATGAACCGTCAGTCCAGGCCTTAGTACCAATTTCCGAACTAGGGACATGGCCATACCCTCGATTTACGTTATTCTCGAGGCTCCTGGGTCGGTTCTGGTATGTTACAGCCCCATTTGACGAAAAGTGTTCACATGCTATGAATTGAACTTGGACGATGTTGTTATGATGGTATGCTTTTGCACTCTTCATCAACAGAGCACTGCTTCTTGTGGCACATTTAACAATGGCACTGCCATCGATCTGTATGGGGTGTGATTTAATGAACCGCAGGCGCTGTCTAGGATGGTGAAATCTGCCCAATGGAGCAAAATATGTTCTGCAAAAAGCTTTTTTTTCTACTTGAGATGTATGGAAGGGTTATCTGCTCTTTCTTTCAGCTGACGGAAAGAGGCACAGCCTTTGCCACTCAGAACCTTGACAGTACCTTAATGGTCAGTTTTCAACCCTTTTGTGCCCATCCTGACACCAAATTAGATTGTGTCACATCGATATAGTTAATTTGGCCTGGAGGCCGAAATAACCCGCGATGGCGAGCAGAAAAATTGCAATTTTAGTTGTGATGATCATAGCTTAGCAAAGCCGGGCCGAAGTCTGTCTGCCTCTGACATCCAGTTTACATGGTTTATAGATTGCTGTGAGCAAAAGCAATGAACATGAGAAGCCAAATAAATGCAGATGGTAGTGATTCATGCATGCTGTGCATGAGTAAACTGATTACATATGGTGTTGATTATGTTGGTTGTGACAGCAGAGTGTTTAGGGTAGCAAACTAACAATACAAGTTCGAAATTATCAGATGTCAAAGATAGGGATCATGATAATAAGAAAATCTGAGCACTAGCAAGCAGTTAGGTAAAATAATTAAAACTGCCCCTGCGCTGATCATGCCTATGCCAACTGCACCAACCTGCCATGCTCACTCCCATGCATATGCCTATGCCCAGGCCCATGTCTACACCTAAGCACCCATACCCCAACCTAACCTAACCTAACCTAACCTAACCTAACCTAACCTAACATAACCTAACCTAACCTAACCTAACCTAACCTACCTAATCTAATCTAATCTAATCTAACCTAACCTAATGTAGCCTAACCTAACCTAACCTAACCTAACCTAACCTAACCTAACCTAACCTAACCTAACCTAACCTAACCTAACCTAACCTAACCTAACCCACTCTACTATACTCTACTCTACTCTGCCCTACCCTACCCTGCCCTACCCTACCCTGCCCTGCCCTGCCCTGCCCTACCCTACCCCACCCTGCCCTTTGCCACCCTATGTCCCTATCCCTCATCCTATCCTCTTTTTATCACACATTTTGTTATTCCCAATGCTTTTTGGAAAACATGCAAATCCAACTGCATTGCCCTTTGGCATGGAAGTAGACCTATGGCTGTTGACAAAGCATTCCCTGTTGAAAGGCTATTTGCATAGAGAAAAGGAACCTGAAAATTACCTATCATCAAATATGCCATCATTCCTCCCCAGCCCCCCTAGCCACCTGGAATATTCACTTTCTGTTGGTGTCATCAAATGATCCCCATTTTATGTTGCCAGGGCAATATTTGACACTATGAGCCAGGTCAAAGGCCAAATTTTCGTGAAAATCCAACTTTTTAGCGTTACATGCTCTTGCACGAGACCATGTCTGGTAGTGACACGAAGCCTGAACAGGCGTGTTCGTTGCTCAATACTGAGTACAGTCATGCATAGTTATGATGTATTTTGACTATATATCTATTTTGTTTGACTCCATTAATGCAACAATGTCGGTTCGCCTCTCCCGTTCCGTGGCATCGTCGGTTGCGGCCTGGCGCCCGCTTATGTCTTACATCGCCGTGCAGTGCTCCTTAAAAACCGTTGCTGCTCCGAAACCATAGATGCTGGGGATACGTTTTGGGATCAAAACACGCGCAATTGATGTCCCAGGCTGCTTAACATTTGGGTGCGATTACACGACATGCCAGATAGTTATTTGAAAAAGTGGGGACTGAGAGTCGCATCGCCCCCGCCCCTTCCTTGTCAGGACGGGGGTTAATGTGAGTTTGTCGGCTGGCCTCTTTGCGCTTTGAGACTACTCGAATGGCGAAGGTGAAAAGCTGTCACAAGTCGACGGCAAGGAGTGAAATTCGGACATCCCTGCCTCCCCGCCCCCTCCCCCCTTCCATCACTTTCGCGATGATCTCCCTGTGCGATTTAGAGTTTTGACGCTTGTTCGTGCACTGGAGCTCGGTAATATGCGATGAGTACTGTGTGCTGCAGTAACAATTATTCACGCTCCGTACCGCTCAGGATGCGCTGCGTTTGATGAGGTCGCATTCTCTTCACAGATGGATCTGTATCTACCCGTCATACATTAACAATCAGAAGACCTTAGCTCAAGGACGAAGAATACCAAAGGAATGCGTACGTATGGTCAATGTCGACTCCTCCAATATCTGGCGCACGACCGGAGGGGTTTGCCACTCTGAAGGAGGGATGTCATAAGCTGCTCGGTGAAATATGCTGATGTTAATGACTTACCTTTGTGCTGTTGTACCTTTGTCGTTGTTCTTGGCATGCATTAACAAATATGATCTCTCTCTCTCTCCTCTCTCTCATGTATCGCATTGCATTGCAGTTCACTTTTTAGTCCAGAACATTAGAGCTTCTTTCTGTAAAAACGTGTTGTGCTAGCGATGCAGATGCATTTTCGAACTTTTCTTGACGTGCATAGTTGTTATTCCTGAAGGACGACAATCGACGACAGACCCATAGGCGCCCTGCGCAATTTTCGCTGAATTGAGGCGACTTTCGCGCCACCAGGCGGTAGCTAATCCGAACTACGAGGAGATCCGGGACGTGCTGGTGGCTGCCGGTCTGCAGGTAGACGTCGAGAACAAGCTGTACCCGCGCGAGAACAGTAAGGAGTTGTTGTACCGTGGCCGCATCCGTGTCCAGCTGCGCCAGGACAACGGCCAGCCGGTGAAGCCGCAGTTCCCCACCAGTGAGTGCTATGTCTGCTCGGCGAGGGCGCGGGAGTGGCGTGTCTTCAGTGTGGCATGTCATGCTCACCGCTCGGTGTCTGGTCAGTGAACACCCGTGAGGGTCTGGTCAGTGCACACCCGTGGGTGTCTCGTCAGTGAACACCTGTGAGTGTCTCGTCAGTAAACACCCATGACTGACGGGTCTCCAACGTGCCGCGCCGGGTCCAGCGCGAAAGTTCTGGTTGGTAAACACTCGTCAGCGGCCTTGTCTCGACTGTGGGGGTTATATAGTAGAATACCCAGGGGCGTCATTGCCGAGTCCCGGTTGCTGGCCACGTGAGTAGAGTGCACTGTGTTCTAGTCATATGCCACGCGGTGGTCGCGCGCGCCGTGATATGGTGGACGTCGCACTGGCGTCCGCTGTGTCCGTTGGCGTAGAACCGGCGGCGCAATGCGTCCAGAGCTATCGAGCAGGCGTCGCGTGTACCCTCAGCACACTGGGCGTGGCCATTCCTGCCACACTGTGCATCATTTCCGTACCCTCGCGTGAGCGGCAGCCGGTGGGTTGAAGTGCCGTTTGCCTCTCGCTTGGTGCGGAGGCCCGGCCAGTCACGACGTGACATTGCCGGAGTGTGCGTTCAGTACTCACTGTGGCCGTTTGATCTGGCAGGGGAGTCGCTGTTTCGATATCTGGGCGAGAACATTCCGAAGCTGAAGACCCGGCAGAACAAGCCGGCGGAGGGCCAGCAGGCAGCTGCCGCCGCCGCCGCGGCCGTCCCCGCTGGCGCTCAGGCCGGCAAGAAGAACAGGGGCAAGCGGTAGAGCGGCCGGCCGGCTTTGTGGAAGGCGCCCACGGCGTGGGCGGTTTTTTACGGATCACTGTAGC